TTATATTTATCGAATCCGCTATTTACCATCCGCTACCCACTTCCGCTATCCGCCATCCACTATTTGTTAACCGCCACCTGCTACCGTTATTCACTATCCGCTATCCGTTAAATTTTAACCACTATACCAAACAGGACCAAAATCTAACTGTCAGTTTTTTTTAAATATTTATTAGACAGTAGTCTTTTTAAAGTTGGAACTCTGATTTTTTTTTATTCAAGATTGATATGTACTTTTTTAAATAATAAATTATATTTTTAAATAAATAATGACAAGTAGTTAAATCTATCAAATTCATCCAAAAATAAATTTTGTTATATAGGAATTGTTAAATTATTTTCATACAAAATATCAATCCATCACTATGCAAAATATATTGATATAGGAAAATTAAATCGCATTGTGATGACAGGAGTCAATGATGATGTTATACCAAAATTTGACACCTAAATCATAAAGAAAAATTGATTTAAATAATCATATATATAAAGTTAAATTATAGCAAATGGACACAAAATAATATAAGATAAAAAAAAAGGGAACTCAAAACTAAAAAAGAATTATGTCCTTGTAAGTTGTTGCCAACCGTAAGAAACTTGCTGGGAAATGGCCTAAAAATTGTGTAAAACTTACCCAAAATAATGTCTCAGGTGATATGGAGCCAAATTCAAATGACCTCAACACCTAATTGTTGAATCAATGTACTCCAAGAGGGGGTGAATTGGAGTTCCAAAAATTCTTCCCTTTTTCAACCACAAAACCAAAGTTAAAGAGAGTAGAGAAGAAGAGCTTGCACAATAAATTCATAGAGGTTCGGTCCAACCACTTGGAGCCTAGTCCTCTACCTTGGCTTCACTCACCAAGGATTTCCTCCACACTCTTCACTAAGAAAGACAAGGATGGCTTAAAGGAGCCACTCAATTCTTTTACAAGAAGATGAATATTTCTTTCAAACCTCACCCCTTTACAATGTAAACCCCACAAATCCTCTTAATAGATCACTCTTGAAGGAATCAACACACCCCCAAGATCACTCACTAATAGCACAAGAAGAGGATTACAAACAAAGATCTCTCAAAGATCAAAATTTCTAGTTAAAACACAAGTTGGTAGGTAAAGATATTCAATATAATGTTCTCCAAACTTCTTCAAATCTGTTACCAACCATATTTATAGCCCCTTGCTCGAATATAGCCATTTCTAGCCGTTGGGGGTCATTAAATGCCCTGCAGGACGCAAAGCTCGAGTTGCAGGATTGTCAGGAGAGTTGGCTTAACTTCCTAGAGCCGACTCTGTACAGCCGGTTCACCATTTCTGCAGCCGGCTCTACGGGTTTCCTGCACATTCTATTTTCTTCCATAGCCGGCTGCAAAGCTTAGAGCCGGCTTTAGGATTCCAACTTTAAATATATTAAATAATCTTCAAATAACTCGACCATTGTGCATTAAATGCACCCTTACATCCGGCTACAAAGTGGGAGCCGGCTCTGCTTCCATTTTCCGCGCACGCCAAAACAGTAGTTGAATTTCTTGCTTATAGAGTCGGCTTAACAAAATCTGTAGCCGGTTCTCTGCATTTTTGCTTCCCAGAGTTGGTTGCAATTTTCTTAAGCCGGCTTTCTGCATATTTTTACCCTTTTAGCCCTTTTTAATGCAATCTTATTTTGCTTACTTTATAGTATATTAACAATTTAACTACACACTTAAATAAATCAATTAGTCACTCAAATGTGTTTTGTAATCATCAAAATCATAGGTACAACAATCTCCCCCTTTTTTATGATGACAAAACACTTTGATCATGAAAGCATATATACTTCAATATTAACCTCAAAATTTCAGCACCAAGAAAATGACATTAAGACATTAAGACATTAAGACATTCCAGAAAATTATGAGAATTCAGCATACTTTCTCCCCCTTTTTGTCATTCATCAAAAAGTATATAAACATAAGCAATAAACTCCCCCTTAATTCATACTATCAACCTTTAAAGCATCAAGAATATGTAATGAATATAATAATCAATCATCATCAATATAGCACCATAGACAACCAAAGTCATGAATACAATCATCAACCAATAAACTCCCCCTCAATAAGAGCATATAATCATCAAAATCATAGACAATCAATACCAAAAGTCATAAACTGCAGGAGAGCCGGCTTAATTCTAGAGAGAGAAGACTCTCGGGTTTTGGGTTGAGTTGACTCTGAAAATGGTTAAGCCGGCTCTACTGGCCTTGATTGGAACAAGTAAAAGGTTTGGGGCTATTTGGAAGACAATGCATCTTAATGTGATATTTCTTCATTTAACTAAGGTTAAATTGGACATCAACTACTGAATAATGCAACTTTAGTCATATATTAATGTATGCAACATCAAATATCATGAATATAATAAAGGTACACATATCAAACTAATCAATATGCAAAAATTCTAATAAGCAAATTCATTAATTTCAAGAATCATATCAAGCATTAAGATCTAACATACCAAGCTCATTTCTAATGAAGAAAAACCTATCACGATCAAGAGGCTTTGTAAAAATATCAGCTAATTGATTTTTAGTGTCAATAGATAATAAATCAACATCACCATTAGCAACATGATCCCTAATAAAATGGTGCCTAATTTCTATGTGCTTGGTGCGAGAATGTTGGATGGGATTTTTAGTGAGATTGATAGCACTAGTATTGTCACATTTAATAGGAGAATGTTGGATGGGATTTTTAGTGAGATTGATAGCACTAGTATTGTCACATTTAATAGGAATATGATACATAGTAATGCCAAAATCCAAAATTTGTTGTTTTATCCATAACACTTGAGCGCAACAACTTGCGGGGCTATGTATTCGGCCTCGGTTGTAGATAGAGCAACACTATTTTGCTTTTTGAAAAACCATGATATGAGCATATTACCAAAAAATTGACAAGTTCCACTTGTACTTTTTCTATCAATCCTACAACCCGCATAGTCCGCATTCGAATACGAATGTAAGTCTAAGGAAGAACCCTTAGGATACCATAAACCAAGGTTGGGAGTATCCTTTAGGTACCTAAAGACTCTTTTAACCGCAATTAAGTGTGACTCCTTAGGACAAGCT